AATTTAAAAACAAGCTTTAAATTATTATTTTTTTGGGACGTTGGTTGGGGGGCTGGTTTGAGGGTAGGGACAAAATAAATTGAGTTTTTCAACAAAAAAGTAATTGTAGTTTGAAGTTGGAAGAGAGTTTTGGAAAATGTTTTCCTTAAGTTTTGAAGGGAAGTCATTTTCCTTAAATTTGAGGAAAATGAGTTGATTTATTTAACCCAACCAAACATGAGAAAAATTGGAAAATATTTTCCAGAAAATGTTTTCCTTCATACCAAACACACCCTAGATTCAACTTGTCAGAAAAAAAGTATAAAATCTGTATTTTAAATTTTTAGGATTTTCTCTGTATTTGATAATTTAATTCCTCAATTATTGTGGATTTAGCTTGGTAGTGACACCTAATTTGGGTCTAGACCTAATTAGAATGAAGAAACATTTGGCTATAATGTTATAGTTCTTAGTAAAATTTTGATTAGTTTTTTTATATGCTTTGTATTTGTGTTGTTGTGAGTTAAATTAACCCTATGTCAACTTCATTGCAATTAATTTTTAAGTTAAGGGTACAATGGATAGCATACTCTATCTGCTCTATTTTTACCTGTTAAATAATTATTATTTTTTTGTCCGCTTTTAAAATTAATTGATTTCTCTATACTTTTTATATTTCTACGGCATCCTCATGCCCAAAAGGTAAGCTCTTTCCTTCTATTTACGTGTTTGGGTCTCTTTGTATTTTGAAATTTCAATTTTGACATTTTCCTCTTTTATTCTTATGTGTAAATGAAGAACTATTGTATTTATGCATTTATTTTTTGACCTTTTTTGTCTTTCAGATTTTACATTGGATAATTGAGCTTGTCCTTCTAAATATTCTCAATATTCGGAGAAGTATAGAAGAAGCAGAGAAGTAGAGAAGAAGCAAGACATTGTCATAGATGTAGCGTCTAAGGGTTTAAATAGAGATTTGATATTTATCTCAAGACAATTTAATGATGTTAATTTAATAATGTCCTTGTTCATAATCTAAATGACTGAAAAATAATCAACTTATAATAATGTCAAATTAATTTTGAGAGCTGAGTTTAGTTTTTTTCAAATTATGGTATATTGATATACACAAAGAAAACTTAACTATACTTGTGCTCCTTAGATATGTTTTATTAGTATGTGTCTTTGATGTTAAAGGTTGCACCGTTGTGTTTTTACATGAAGTGTAGTCCAAAAATACGAGTTATGATATGCAAGAAATCAAGAGATCACCCTAGAATCTTGCATCATTTTTGTTGTATTATCATACTTGTATATATTAATTTTCTAATTTTGTTTTCCTCTAAATTCAATTTATGTATTGCCAATTTGGAGTCCAATTTGAAATTGGGTAAATGACATTTACCAAAAGAATGAATTGTACTACTTATACATACAGTCTCAATCTGTTGGATCCGTGCTTGCACAAACACATTATCTCTAGTTATTAAAATAAACATTGAAACAAAATCAAGCTAAGTAACATTTGCACCGTATGCAACATTCAAAATATTATATATATATCAATATGAAACTATTGATATAACAAAGAAAAACATGTAAATTGTCTAGAATTTCAGAAACAAACTTCAAAATCTAAAATAAGAGATTGATATAACCGATTAAGCGTAAAATTATAGTTTGATAATTATTACCGAGTTGTAAATTACTCGTTAAGAAAAATCATAAATCATTATAAAATTGATAATTTACAAAAAATAAATAATCTAAATCATTACCGAATTATAAATTATTTGAGCCGTAGATCTTTCGGAAATAACCTTTTTATTTGAAATGGTAGATGTAAGATATGTGCATACTCTACCATTTCCATATTCCGCTTATGAAGATTATAGTGAATATATTTTTATTCTCACCAAATCATAAATTTAATAAATCATCTCCGTTAAAATCAATAATAATTTGTTTGAGTTACTGATTTTGACTGTCTTCAATTTTGAACAACCCTACCAAAATATTGGAGATAACACCAATATATATATATATATATCTACTCTAATATTATGGAGATCATATTGTGCACAAATCAATTATTTATATAATTATATTTGTGCACATTAGAAAACCGATAACTCGATATAAAAAAAATCAAAATCGTTACAAAAAATGCTTAACAAATAACTCATTACCGATAAATCAATAACTTTTTTTCAGTTTGGATTATTGGTTAGTGATTCGATTTTAAACAACCTACTTTAGATGTTCACATAGACAAAAAATGCTATATAATTTTGCTTTAGTATTGATGGATAAAATTAGGTATTCAATGAAATAGTTAAAGCACCATGGATG